GTGGGTATGCAAGGCAGGACCTCTGCCCCAGCACCTAGACAGCAGAACACTGAACCAAAAAGATTATGCTTGAGCATTAAGATTTTGGACTTGTTCAGAATTTGCCACTTCTTTCTTTACTATTTCTCCATCTTGGAAAGGTAATATCTAGCCTATGCCTGTCCCATCATTTTATTTTGAAAGCACTTAACGTGTTTAATTTCAGAGGTTCACAGCTCAGGATGGATAGTACCTCGGGTCTCATGCATATAATTTGGATGACATTTAGATGAGACCCTGGACTTTGGACTTTTAAATTGATGCTGGACTGAGTTAAAACTTCAGGCTCTTGGGATGAATTGAATATATTCGCATGCAAGAAGGACATGAGGCTAAGTGCACTGGCTCACGCCTGTAATCCCAGCACTTTGGGAGGCCAAGGTGGGTGGATCACCTGAGGTCAGGAGTTCGAGACCAGTCTGGTCAACATGAGGAAGCCCTGTCTCTACTAAAAATACAAAAAATTAGCTGGGCGTGGTGACAGGCACCTGTAATCCCAGCTACTGAGGAGGCAGAGGCAGGAGAATCACTTGAACCTGGAAGGTAGAGGTTGCAATGAACCAAGATTGTGCCATTGTAGTCCAGCCTGTGCAACAAGAGTGAAACTCCATCCACCTCTCCCACCAAAAAAAAGACATGAATTTGGGTACAGGCAGGGGTGAAATGCTATGGTCTGAATGTTTGTTTCTCCTCCAAAATTCATGTTGAAACCCTAGCACTCAAGGTGACAGTATTGTGAGGTCCTGCCTTTGAGAGGTGATTAGGTCATCAGGGCAGTCCTCATGAATGGGATTAAAAAGTCCTCATCAAAAGGCTAGAGGGAGACCCCCACCCCTTTCCGCATGTGAGGACACAGCAAGAAGGCACTGTCTATAGGCAGAAAGCAGATCCTCACCAGACCCTGAATCTGCCCTGAGTTTGGACTTCCCGACCTCGGGAGCTGTGAGAAATAAATTTTCATAATTTATAAGCCACCCAGTTTATAGTATTTTGTTGTGGCAGTTGAAATGGAATAAGACATCCCAGTTTGGACTTTTGGAAAGAGGAATCTAGTGAGAAATAATGTTTCAAGAACTGGAGATTAGTCTAAAGAGGCCCAATAAATGAAAAGAGAAAAGACACTTATTTGTTTGTCTTCACAAATACAAAGGAATACCTCTCAGCCCTGGAACCAAAGATAGAAGAAGTGACTCAAGGATGCAGAGCAAGGACTGGGTCTTTAAGAAGCAAGGCCAGGGGCTGGGTGTGGTGGCTCGCACCTATAATCCCAGCATTTTGGGAGGCAGAGGTGGGCAGATTACTTGAGGTCAGGAGTTCAAGACCAGCCTGGCCGACATGGTGAAACTCTGTCCTACTAAAAATACAAAATTAGCTGGGCATGATGATGCAGGCCTGTAATCCCAACTACTTGGGAGGCTGAGGCAGGAGAATCGCTTGAACCAAGGAAGTTGCAGTGAGCCAAGATTGCGCCATTGTACTCCAGCCTGGGCAAAAAGAGTGAAACTCCATCTCAAAAAGAAAAAAAAAAAAAAAAAAACCAAGACCAGGAGAGTGAGGTAAGGTGTGGACGTGGAATGATCCCGCCTCAGAGGATGCTTGATGTGGAAGGTCAAGATGCACCTGGAGCCAGGGACCCAGGTGCTCATTCTAACATCATGAAGGAATTCTGTTTCGCCAAAAGTACAGGGAGTTTTTCAAAGTTCCAGAAAACAGCAGTAGGGTTCAGTGATGCCAAGGAAGGGTGGACTATATTTCCGTAATTTAATTTAAAGAACTGACATAGGTTTCTCAGGGATACACAAAAGAGGTTCTTACTCTCACAGAAAGAGCTGGCTCTCGAATCGCTTTAGGGAATGCAGTTCCCAGTAAACAGGAACCTTCTATAAGGGAAACAGAGAAACTTCAGGGAGGGCTCCCAGAGAGCTGCTGGGCTGGTGTTGGTGTCTCTGAACTTGAAAGAGTGGCCTCATGACACCCAGATTTCCAAGACACAGACCAACTGTCTTGGGGGACAAGTTGGAAGGTTGATATGGCAAGTGTTAAAACAAACAAACAAACAAACAAATCTTGCAAACTAGATTTAGTTGCTGCTTCAGAAAGGCACTGCCATTGCTGGGGTGACCTGAAGACCTGTTTGCCAACAAAAGCAAGGAACCCCCATCCCTTCATCCAGGCTTGTGGTCTCTCTCTGGTGCCCCCTACTGGCAGAGCCTAACAGGGTGTCAGCTGGCCAAGCAGAAAGGTGCTGTGCAGAGTCCTAGCCTCAGTGGAATACAGGAGCGTGGGTCTGGAGTTGGCGAGGTCACAACTTTGTAAGTGGCACGTTCTCCTTATAGCGTCCCAAGACCCATGTTTCTTTCCTAGCAGAACCGTGTATTACCGATTACAGCTAGAATTGTATATGAGCCCTTTCCAGGTACCTTCTCTTGGGAGAACCATACCTATCTTCTGCAGACTTAAAAATCCTGCCATCTCAAAAGCTGAGGCACATGTTTGACAATGTTTATCCTTTCCATTCCTAGCTATTAACAGAAAAAAAGATCCACTTTCACTTTCTTCTGAAAAGTCAAGAGCATGTCCACCAAACTCTCTAGCAAATATCCAATAGTTGAAGTTTCTCATCACCACTGTATAAAATATATATTCAATGACCAATTCTATACATTACTTCTATATTGGTTTTTTTTTTCCATCTGTCTAAAATGCATGATTAATTTTCTCCTTCTGGCCAGGTGGCCTATACCAAAGTTCCAGAGCAGGTCACTTACATTTTTCTCTGACTCACTCCTCCACAGTGTTTCTGTTTTGGGGTTACTCAAGTGAATATCTTATTGATATATCATACCATTCAGTCTCCCCTTATTACAGCCTATCATTTGGGAATATGGCATGCTTCTCCATCACTGTATTTTAATCTGAAGCCCCTTCCCACCATGTCTCAAAAAATCACACTATGGTATAACCTCAACTTGGTTCATTCACAATGCACACTGAGACGGTATGATAAAGTGACCTCTGAACTAGATTGCCCATGTCCAAATCCTTGTTTTTCTACCTACCAGCTGTACATGTCCTTGTGCAAGTTATTTAACTCCCATAAGCCTCATTTTTCTCCATCTTTGAAATGGAAGTAACAACAGTACCTACTTTGTAAGGTTGTTTCTAAGATGAAAAGAGATATACAGATAGTAAGTAATCAATGACAGCTATTATTAGTATAATGGTTTTGAGGCTATTAGTATTATTTCCATCTCCTCTCTGCTTTCCAATATTTTGGGGGTGCAAATCCCCAGGCATATCCCCTGCTTTTATTCATATTCTCATCTTACGCTTGTTGTCTTCCATAGGAACCATATTCATAGGTTTATCAAGGTGATTGTCCTTCTTTCTTCCTTTACTTAAAGTTTTTCAGTTGGGTCACCCAGATTCTGGTCAAATATCCTTCCCTCACCAAGAATACATCATTCATCCCAGTACATAAACCACGGCTTCGTCTTATAAATGTCACTTCTCTTTACCATCTTTTTAATTGTACATTCAACCCACAGATTTTTCTTTCTCTTCAAAGTCTTTATTATTGGTAGAGAAAACCATTATATAAGTTTATCATCTAGGGCTGGGCATGGTGGCTCACAACTGTAGTCCCAGCACTTCAGGAGGCCGAGGCAATGAATCCCTTGAGCTCAGGAGTTCAAGAGAAGCCTGGGCAACGTGGCAAAACCCTGTCTCTACCAAAAATACAAAAAGTTAGGCGGGTGTGGTAGTGTGCTCCTGTGGTTCCAGCTATTTGGGAGGCTGAGATGGGATGATCGCTTGAGCCAGGAGACGGAGGTTGCAGTGAGCCGAGATCGTGCCACTGCACTCCAGCCTGGGTGACAGAGTGATACCCGTTTCAAAAAAGAAAAAAAAAGTTTATCATCTGTACTCTTGAGTCCTTTGATTCCTCATCCAAGGCATAGTTTATTTTCAGAAATATCATTCATGTAGTATTTTAACTCAAGACATACTGGGAGAAGATTTCCAGGAGAAAGTTAATAAGGATCTTCAAATGGCAGAAGAATCAGGAAGATCAGACCTGAGAGCTTAATGGAATAGCTTTCAAAAGCATGATGAATCATCTTGGATGTGCAACTTGGGCAGAACGCTTATTTCATATAGGCTAAGTAGAGAGTATTGAGCCTGTCAGAAAAGGAAGCTTTCAGCCTGATGCCAAAAAAATTTGCTAGTCAAAATAACCAGTCAAATAATTTCCAAATTAATTATTTTTCATTTCGTGTTTGCATTTGTACATCCAGTCTCAGATTCTCAAAGGAATAAGTTATGATTTTAGCACACAGAAGTTTAGATTCTTCTCATCACTACCCTAAACCATCCAAATTATAAAAGTGAAACTATATATTATACAGTGATACCTTCATAAATCTATTTCCAAATGCCAGAAAATAGGCATCATGAGTGGGGAATTTCATATGTGTCCATGCATGTACAGAGTTCAGGCTTAGAGAGATAAATGTGTCAAGAATGCATAACCACAGCCGAGTAATTATGCAACTTCTATTTCTGCCAATAAATTTCGAGCCTGATTTATGTCAGATCAGAATATAAATCCAGTCTTTGCACCGATTATCAAAAATACACTTTTCAGGCTGGGCGCAGTGGCTCATGCCTGTAATCCCAGCAGTTTAGGAGGCCGAGGCGGACAGATCACCAGAGGTAAGGAGTTCAAGACCAGCCTGGCCAACATGGTGAAACCCCATCTCTACTAAAAAATACAAAAATTAGCCAGAAGTGGTGGCATGGTGGCAGGTGCCTATAATCCCAGCTACTCGGGAGGCTGAGGTAGGAGAAGCACTTGAACCCGGGAGGTGGAAGTTTCAGTGAGCCGATATGGCACCACTGCACTCCAGCCTGTGCAACAGAACCAGACTCTATTTAAAAAAAAAAAAAAAAGAAAAAGAAAGAAAGAAAAAAAAAGACTACTTTTCACACTTTTCAGTGTTGAATATATTATTTTCAGACAGAATATAATTAATGGAATGCTATATTGGTTCCATACTGCAAAGTCTGCTGGGCCTTGGGGTGGAGTGGAGCCTGTCTAGAGAAAAAAGACAAGACTCAGCTCTGAAAAGAGAACTGAAACGAAGGATCCAGAAATCGTGATGACTTGATAAACCCTGGGCCTAAGCTCTCATATGAGCAAATAATGAGGGCAGCCATCTTAATTTTTATGGAAAATAAATGGGTGTATCATCTCATTTACTAAAAAAAATAATGAGATGAAATTGTTCTGAGGGAGTGGATTCCCAGGATTCTCCACCCTGTGTATGCCTCACTTCTGCCAGGTGCCACCAATCACCAACTCTAAATTTGTAAGGCCGGAGCAATGCATCTGAGTCCTGGAGAATCACCTGGGGAGTTTTGAAAAATACTGACATCCGGCTCCACCTAGGAAATGTTAGTTTAATTAGACTGGGATGCAGCCTAGGCACTGCTAGTTTTCTTAAAGCACACTAGGTAAGAAGCACTGGTCTAGGCCAACTGCCCTGAGGGTAGCTCCTGCCTTGCAAAGACTATGACAAAGTCTTTCTGCAGAGATGCACACAAGACAACAGTGGGGCCTCTTTCCCATTCTTGCTGCCCTTTCTCCTTCATGTTCTTTATTCTCCTGCCTTGCAGCGCCGGTCCTTGACTACAGATTGTCTTGTATCTGTTGTCTATAATTTAATGCTTCTGATATCCCAGATGCCTGCTGGCCCCTCCCTGGCCTGCTCTGACTCCAGAAATTTGTATTTTCTTCTGAGTATTTGCCCACTCTGTTGCAAACTCTGGCTTTGCAAGCTCCCCTAGCTGCATTGACTTGAAGCAAGCATCTGATTCAACCCTCTCAGTTGGATTCTAACTTCCAGTCCCTTCCCTCTGGCAAGAGGCTGGGGACATCTCCACAGGCAGCACCTGACCATATTTGTTCAACACTTAACTTCTGTGGGATGAGATGAAGTCCCAGCGTGTCCATCTAGATAACAATCTTCTTGTCATGGGATGAAACCAGCCTGGGTTTGAATCCTGCATGAGGAAATTACAGTAGAGTAAGAGAGAGAAAGCCTAGGTGACTAGGGAGTAGGTTCCTGAGCTAGGGCCTGAGATGTGGAAAGAAGAGACTATAAAGAGAAGGGAGAAGAGAAAATGATGAGTAAGACCATCTTCTTTAGGTAAACCTAGGTGTGTATTATAAATGTTAGCATTGGCCACTGTCGCTTATAAATTGCTGCTGTCATTTTAAAAATTCTGTATCATGTCTTCTTCATGACTTTTTAATACCACCATTGTCTCAAGGTACAAGCCCAGAAGTGTAAGTTGAAAAGAAAATGTCTATAAAATAATACACATGCTCTAATTTTCAACCAAACATTAAAAGTAAACCTAAAACCCACTGCTGATATCCATGTATAATCCCTTTTGGCTCCCAGAGGTACCTCTGTTAACAAATGTGTAGTCCTGGAAGAACTGTTTGATGTACAAAAAAAATACATGTATGATATTGCTTCATGTGTGTTTTATATAACTGGAGTAATACCACATACATCATTAGGAAAATTACTTTTTTTTCACTCAACAGTCTAGAGTGGAGATCTTTCATTTCACCACATATAAATCTCATTCTACTCAACTACTAAATGCTAACTATGGACAAATAAGCTGTTTCCAATGGATATGATTATAAACAATTGTATAAATACAATGTATAGTTGATATGTGTGTGTGTGAAGGTTTCTTTAGAGAAGATCAGGAAAAGTAAAATTGTTAGACAATAGGGTAGATGAATTTTTATTTTAAATAGGTATTGTCAAATTTATACCTCACCTAGTAATGCAAGAGAATACCATTTTACCATACTCTACTCAACACTATCACATATTTTACTTTATTTTATTATTATTTTTAGATGGAGTCTTACTCTGTCACCCAGGTTGGAGTAAAGTGGCCCAATCTGGGCTTACTGTAACATCTGCCTCCCAGATTCAAGTGATTCTCCTGCCTCAGACTTCTGAGTAGTTGGGTTTACAGACACCCATCAACACTCTCAGCTAATTTTTGTATTTTTTTGTAGAGACGGGGTCTCACCATGTTGGCAGGCTGGTCTCGAACACCTGACCTCAAGTGATCTGCCTGCCTCAGCCTCCCAAAGTGCTGGGATTACAGGCGTCAGCCACCATGCCACATATTTCAAATGTTGCTTCTCTGGAATGGTATTTCTTTGTTTGCATTTATGTATTTTTTTTTATTACTGGTGTGGTGAAAATATGCTTCATTATTGTTTCAATTTGCTTTTCATTGGTTACAAGTAAGATTGAACATTTTTGTGTATGCCTACTATTATTTGGTTTTACTCCTTCACTTTCCATATTCTTTGCCCATTTTTCTATTGGGTGGCTTATCTTTTTTCTTATTGGTAGAGGAGTGATTTATAGATTATGGATTTCCTTCAGGACACAATTCACATTGTAGTCTACTTGAATGGCTCCCCCCGGTGGTGTACAGTACACAGCCTGCACAGCCGTAACTGGCAGTCAGCTTTTGTTTGTGATCAATATGTAAATATTTTATCCTTACTCTGTCTCTTGTCTTTACATTTTACTTGTGTTATTTTTCACAGTGTAGAAGTTGTTTTTCTAGTCATATTTATCGGTCTTTTCCTTTGTGTTGTTTGCCTTCTGAGTCTTGTTTAAGATCATCTTTCCTACCCAAAGTAAAGCATTTTCCTGTATGACCTCTGATTCTTTTGTAGTTTTACTTTTTATGCTCATATATTTAATCTATCTAGAAACGACTGGTGGATGATGTGAGGTAGGGATCTAACATTATCTTTGTCCAAATGGGTAACTAATAATACCAACAAATTATTGAATAGACATCCAAAAGACATCTCTTACCTAAAATCCTACCTCTACCACCACGCCTGGCTAATTTGTGTATTTTTAGTGCAGACAGGGTTTCACTATGTTGGCCAGACTCATCTTGAACTCCTGACCTCAGGTGATCCACCTGCCTCAGCCTCCCAAAGTACTGGGATTACAGACATGAGGCAGAAGAATCGCTTGAACCCAGGAGGCAGAGGTTGCAGTGAGCTGAAATCGTGCCATTGCACTCCAGCCTGGGGGACAAGAGCGAGACTTTGTCTCAAAAAAAAGAAAATTTAAATTTAAAAAATTTTAAAAATTAAAAATTAAAAAAAATAAATAAAATACTACCTCTATCATAAGGCATTTTTTCCTATATTCATAGGCCCATTTTGAGGCTCTGCATTCTATTCTTATGATTAAAATTATATTTGGAGAAATTATTCATTTCGCTACAAATGGTCATGGGTAATCACGATCTATTAGTAAGTGAGAGGTTTGGTTTAAATAAAGATCTACTCTATATTGAGTTTAATTCATAGTATATAACTTAATGTTATAATAAACTATGTATTATAAATGATATGAAGTTCTCACTTCTGACAGGAGGCTCAGTCTAAATCATGCTTTTGTTATCTTTTAAAGCTCCCACATTGAGGACCTGCATGACTCTTAGACAAAGATCTTGGTGTCCAGTGAAGCAGCCAACTTGTTTTTATTTCTTCCTGAATATTATTATGACTTGAAACTCATAACTTGATTCATAGTGCATTAATGACATTTATTCATATATCTTTTAAGTTTAAGTGAACTGATCATTTAGAACAAGAGTTCAAAAATATAAATATGAACTTCTCCATGGGCCCATATGAACCTTAAATGCCATCTGATAGCACAGTTTGACAAGTAGTAGTCTGTGAATAAATATATGCAGAATGAAAGTAGTACTATGTGTAACTTGAAAACTGCCACTCACGCTCTTTTTTCTAGGCACTTCACCTATTTGCTTCATTCAGAGTAGCTGTTTTACTCTTGCTGTTTTAAGACATATGGTATTAGAACTTGGCATGAATCGCTTTCTTTGCCAGAAAATTTTGAGTCAATTTAAGCTTTTTTCTTTGACCTTTTAAAAAAAAAAAAAAAAAAACAAACCCAAGACACTTAGTTGTTTAGTTATTGGCTATCAAATAAACCCCCAAAGCATAAATATTATTCTCCATTTTGGCTTTCCATATGGTGCAATTGAATGAAAACTGGACTTACTTTACTCTCCCTTCTCTCTGGAGAGCACAGCCTATGTAGACTAGAATGTGATGATGACCCCTGGATTGTGCAGTGCACAGTACTGTTCTCCTTCCCACTTCCATTCTTTATGTTTCTCTATTCAAAAAGATCCTCCTGGCTCTGCCTGTAGATAGATCCGTTGATGCCTACGATTTGCAGCTCTGTGTTCCTTGAAGACATCATCCCACAGACTGCAAAAGTTACTCATGTAATTAGCCTGGAGACTTCTAGCAGTTTCCAGGCCTGAGTTCTTATCAGGGTTTGTCTTACAAAAGTTCAAATGGTCTCCTGTATGACTATTTTAAAAATATGGAGGCCAGGCACGGTGGCTCATGCCTATAATCCCAGCACTTTGGAAGGCCGAGGTGGGTGAATCACGAGATCAGGAGTTCAAGACCAGCCTGGTCAACATGGTAAAACCCTGTCTCTACTAAAAATGCAAAAATCAGCCAGGCATGGTGGTGCATGCCTGTAATCCCAGCTACTTGGGAGGCTGAGGCAGAAGAATTGCTTGAACCCAGGAGGCAGAGGTTGCAGTGAACAGAGATCATGCCACTGCACTCCAGCCTGGGCGACAAAGCTAGACTCCATCTCAAAAAAAAAAAAAAAAAAAAAATGGAGTCCAATGAAACTTTCAGAATGGCTGTACAGGAGGATGGCTTGCTCACTCACACAGGTACTGTTGATTCTGCACAAGTATCTATTTGACAATGCAAGGCTCATACCTTGAGTCAAACTTGTAACCAGTTGAGCACAGAGACTCTGTTCAGTATAGCAAACATAGTTTACGTGGGCCCACCCAGAAACTTTCTACAGGTACATTCCACATGCTGAGTGATGCTGGCTGACTCCGACTGTTGTGTGCAACTCTATGCTTCTTTCCTAAAGCCTGCGTGAGAAGATGCAAAGTTAAAGTCAAAATTCCAAGACTTGCAGATGGTTAGAACTGCAAATACTTCAGGGACTTTCTTGTTGAACCATCTGATTTTAGAACTGGGATGACTGCCTGTTGACTTTAGTATATTTCATTTATAAATATATAGGCACACACATTTATAACATATATAATCAACCATGTTAATCATAGTAATAGCAAATGAATGAAAACTTCATATACATTTAAACTTTAAGTGAACTGGTCATTTGGGATATAAGCATGTGAAGTTAGCTCTCCTTTCTTTTAAATATCTGTAGCTCCCATTGGGGTGTGTGTGTGTGTGTGTGTGTGTGTGTGTGTTTCCAAGATCATAGCAGTGGAGAAGTTACTAATTGCCACCCATTAGACAGATGGGAATGGTTAAAATGTGGAACAGTTGCCAGCTCCCTGTGGAATTCTGGCTGGCTGTTTCTTTACTCCAAAGTCTGTTTTACTTTGTGAAACAGTTTTATTTTTTAAGCAACATTTACTTTTTATTCCCCAAAAGGATGCTGGGAAGGAGACTCCCCTTATTGCTATTCTCATAGTAACATGTGAGACAACTGCATGTACACAGGGCTTGACAGTCTCTTCCTGGGAACATACACTGCGAATAGCCCAGAGGATCTAGGCAGCCACCTGTCACTCAGCTCAGCACCTACATCTGTACCCTTCCTTCCCAGCCCTAGGCCCCTTTACACTGATGGAAATGATAGTACATGGCAATTCTCCAAATCAAGGTTGTTTAAAAATTCCTACAGTCCACTGATTAGGCATTTATTCCCCTGTGGCTATTTCTAAAGGTAAAAATAACACCTTGGAGAGTTTGTGGATCTTTCTAGTTGGTGTACTGTGACCCATGTAGACTTCAGTCCCAAAATGCATGACCATCACATTTGTAAAGAACTACTCAGAACAAGTTAAACCTAAGAGCAATGCCCTCTAGCAAACTAGAGTCTAGAATATACTAGTAAGAGACCAGTCATTCCACAAATATTTATTGAGGCTCTCTTCTGGGCACTGCAGAGTTCATAAGAAAAAAGCAGATCTACTTTTGTCTTCAAAAGTCTCAAAGTGCAAGGTAGAGACTGAAAAGTCACAGGGTGATTGCAATAGAGGAGACTGAGCACAATTACATTGGAAGTTCACTGTGTCGGGGCTAGGAGGGCTCTTAACTCAGACTTGGGCAGTCATAAAGGTTACCTAGAAGAAGGCCAGAGGGGAGCTAGCTGGACACAGATATGGAGGAACAGTGCTCAAGGCAGGGAGAACAGCATGTGTGAAAACCTGAGGACAAGAGGCAGCAAGGCACATTCAGGACAATGAAAACCAGTTTAATCTGGCTAGGGTGGAGAGTGAGTGTACGCATGTGAGTGCGGGGGTAAAGGCAGATTTGGGAGGGATGTCCAAGATGCCCCTGGACAGAGGACTGGGAGCTAAATTATTAAGGGCTGGCCTTTTAAGTTCTTTGTAGATGACTAACCTTTATCCATGAACCATTCATCCATTAATTTACCTACCATGTGCCAGGAACTAGTGCTGGGGATAAAGCAACAAATAAAACAGACAAAGAATGAGCCCTCAAGGAGCTTCCATTCTCATGAAGAGGGGAAGGAAGTCAATGAACAAATAATCAAATTGAATATATAGTAAGTCAAGCGGCAATAAATGCCAAGAAGAGAAATAACTCAGGGTGGGCGATAAGGACTGTGGCAGGATGGTTCTCATTTCACATAGGGCAATGAGGTCTCACTGATGTGGTGGCATTCAGCAGAGATCTAAGGAAATGCAGGAAGAAGTTATGAAGATTTGCGCAGGGGAAAGTCTGGGCAGAGGAAAGAGCACGGAGAGCTGGACCACCAGGTGCTCAGTGTGTTGTGGGAACACCCAGAGGCTACTCTGGCTGGAGCAAAGGGAGAGAGCAAAGAGCACAGAAGCAGTAGGAGATGAAGTCTGAGCAATAGAAGGGCAAGATTGCAGAGGGACTTGTAGGGTTGTATCCTGAGTGTGGTAGGAAATCAAACGTGAGTTTTCAGTAGGGAGGTGGCACAACCCTGCTTGCATAGTTCTAGCTGCAGAAGAACGGATTGAGGGTGGGGTTTGGGGATGGAGTGGCAGAGTAGGCGGGGGAGACCTGCTTATTGCATAAAATCAGATAAGTAATGGTGATGACCTAAGCAAGGTAATAGTATTGGAATATGTGACAAATTAGAGGCAGAAGAGAGAGAGAAAATTGAAGGATGCTAAAAGGATCCTGTTCCTTGATTCCAAAATATTGTTTATCACAACTTGCACACTGACTGAAGTTTTTCCTATTATAGTATCTCTCTCGAGTTTAAAGAATTGAAAGATTCTATTTGGGCACATTGTGTTTTTGTTTTTGGTCAGAAAAACATAGAATTTAGAGAGAAAAATAAGGATGATATATAAAACAATACATTTACATAAATTAAAGATGTATGCATATGAAGCAATACTTATAACTTTGGAAGAAGATGTGCAATATAGAAAGTGCACAGGAAATAGAATAGGATGTTGCCTACAGTGGGGAGAAGTAAGATAAGACGATGTTATAAAAATAATCAAACAAAACCAAACAAAAGAACAAAGTTCCAGAATGCACATTTTTTTTTTCTTCTTTCTTCCTTTTTCAACTTTTGTTTTAGGTTTAGAGATATATGTGCAGAATTATTATGTAGGTAAACTGCACATAGGTAGCAAGTATAGTACCCTGTCTTTTCAGACTGATCAAAACAGTAAACATTGTTGAGCACTAGCAACTCAGTGCTGCTTAGTTAGTTGTTCTAGTTTAGAGGAGGTCTCTGAGAGAACAGGTCTCGGGATAGTCAGGCTTTAACAGCGAATGGTGAAAAGGAGAAAGCTAGGCAAATGATGCCCAGAAAGGTGGGTACCATGTGACCAGTCAGAGCTAGGTCTTTGGGACATAAGAAGTGAGAAAAACAGAATTCTGAAAACAAATTTTACCTCCTCCACAGTTCCACTTAAAATTAACTCTGCGTGAAGTTTTATTTTTACTTCTCCCTACCCCCAACCCTCTGCTCCAACCCAGTTTTCCAAATGATATCCTGTTCCGACATTTAAGAAAAAAATTTAGCGTTTTCCTCTCTGCGCTCAGTGGAATTTCACCAATTTCTTTGGAATGACAAGTATCAGAAAAAGTTCTGCCGCTGCTGCGGAAACCACTGCTCCATAATCTACTGAGGTTCAAGGTCTCGTAGAAAGAAAATTTGCAGTCGATTAATTTAAAGTTAAAAAAAATAAAACTGGCAGTCAGGAGGTTACTTGGGTTTTATCTCAGTTTTGTGCTGATAACATAGCTAAGTACTTCTTAGTTTACAAAGCATGTTCACATTTCTTAATCTGTTTGATCTTCATATCAACTCTTGTGAGGCAGCTACTTTACAAATGAGAAAACTAAAACTCGGAGAGATTAAATGACTTACCCAAGTTGCTTAACTTGTAATCTGCACTCCTTCTGTGTTAGAACTCTTCCTGTGTCCTGAGGTCAGGTTCTAAACCTGTCTTTGCTTCCTGTAACATTTGCCAATGAACTTCATGAGGATATAGAAAAGAAAAGTGGTGACAGTATGGGTGGCACAACCTGTTGGATGAAAAGCGCCAATAGAGGTTTACCATTGTTTGTATTATTATTATTATTTTTAATATTTGCGATCAGGTCTTTGCAGCTTATAAACCATCTTAAAAGGGTAGTATTTAGCAGGAACAGACCTGGGAACCCCCAAATTGGCTCCCTACCATCAGGCAACCTTGTCTGTGAATTTCCCAAGGGAAGAAATATGTGCAGAGGCCAGTACTGGATGAAGGAGCACCATTGGCTGGAGCCTTGGCCTCCAAATGCAGGGTATCTTCCAACCGATTTTAGTTGGACTACAATTGAATCTTCAGTTGAATCTTGGACCTTATCACTCCATTGAGGAAAAAGGCTGGTCCAAAGCCCACCAGCCAGCAAAATGAAGAGGAAGCAGAAAATAGAAATGGCCAGGCGCTCTCCTAAGTGAGTGTAGTCCCAGCTCTCCTTGCCACTCCAGCCTGGTAAAGGGAGCATCTGGCCCTAAATAGATATATTCTGTGGCTCTAGGCTCTAGTGCCTAGATAATGTAGAATGGTCTCTTTGAACTTGGGCAGTCTCGAGCATGGGTTTTCTTCATGGGAGGGGAGGAGTGTTAGAGTTCTGGATTGGGAGAGTTGCTAAAAGCCCTCCTAGCTAAGGATTCTGTATTAGCCCATTCTCACATTACTATAAAGAAATACCTGAGACTGTGTCATTTATAAAGGAAAAAGGTTTAATTGGCTCATGGTTCCGCAGGCTGTACAGGAAGCATGATGCTGACATCTGCTTGGCTTCTGGGGAGGTTTCAGGAAACTTACAATCCTGGTGGAAGGCAAAGGGGGAGCAGCCGCATCTTACATGACTGGAGGAGGAGGGAGCCAGAGCAGGGAGATGCCACACACTTTTAAACAAACAGATCTCGTGAGCACTCACTCACCATCACGAGAAGAGCACCAAGGGGGAAATCCACACCCATGATCCAATCACCTCCCACCAGGCCCCACCTCCAACATTGGGGATTACAACTGGACATGAGATTTGGGCCAGGACACAGATCCAAATCATATAGGGTTCTGAAAGTAAGGAGAATCCCCAAATTTGGAAATGAGATCAGGAAGTTAAAACTCTCTAAAATTCATTCATCCCATAACATTTTGTGTGATATTATGCCAGAGGCTGGGATACAGAAATAAGTACTTGCTCAGTTATATCTAGATCTAGATCTAGGACCATATCTCTATCTATACCTCTATCTTTCTATCTATCTATCTATCTATCTATCTATCTATCTATCTATCTATCTATCATCTATACTCTCTATCTTCATCTATCTAATTCATTCATTCATTCATTCATCTATCTATCTATCTATCTATCTATCTATCTATCTATCTATCTATCATCTACTATCTATCATCTATCCATCTATCTATCATCTATCTAATCTATTTGTCTATTTATCTATCTAATCAGTCTCTCAGTCAATCTATCTAGAGTCACATATTGTAAATAGTCTACTTAAATAAAAACTTCCCAGATTTTAACTATTCAACAAAGTGATTTCGAGATTTAGAGATAGTCTTTCTAAGGAGATAGATACCTATAAAACACCAGGAAATATTCCACTAAACATAATACATAAACAGGAGATCCATAACTTGAAAGAAGGCAGTGAAAATGCCTGGCAAAGAGAAGGCAAGTGTTTTAGAGCTTGAGCAAGAACATATGAGTATTCCTCTGGTATTATTTTAGGGAGAAGAAGTTCTTCGAGCAATGGGGTTTAGTTTTTCAGACAGAAATGTCCCTAAAGAGGGGCAGTTTATCAGCCACCACAGATTGCTGGAGCCATCTATCCAGATTGCCAGTCTCTTGGGCTCTCGGTCAGAACTTTCCTTAACACCTCTTTCTCTGTGTCGTGAGAGGGGCTGTCCACTGGACAGAAGACTCATTATAAATGGCCACCTGAGTTTTCCCTCTCAGAATATATTTCCCACTGGCTGGGCATGGTGGCTCACGCCTGTAATCCCAGCACTTTGGGAGGCCAAGGTGTGTAGATCATGAGGTCAGGAGTTCGAGACCAGCCTGGTCAACATGGTGAAACCCTGTCTCTACTAAAAATACAAAAATTAGCTGGGTGTGGTGGCAGGCGCCTGTAATCCCAGCTACTCAGGAGGCTGAGGCACCAGAATTGTTGGAACCTGTGGGGCAGAGGTTGCAGTTAGCTGAGATCGTGCCACTGCACTCCAGCTTGAGTGACAGGGCGAGACTCCATCTCAAAAAAAAAAAAAAAAAAAATTGCATTTCCCACTTTAACTTAGCTAATTGGCACTCTAGTTTCTAAATCGACCCTTAGCCACACTTAGGTGTTTGTTATTATTATGGCTATTACTTCTCTGCCTTCCAGAAGATACATGTAACAAAGTGTCCCCAAAGTCCATACAAGGGTAGTTCTGTGTGTGGTATGCCTGGCATTCCTGGGCATGTGGGAGGACTGTATCATTAGCTCCCCTTTCCAGACACCTGCACCTCTTAATTAGGGTAGCAACAAACAACCAGACTCCAGGGCTCCTGGCCTGGACCCAAATCCACACTCACCATTCCCCAGGCACCAACTTGCATTCTCAGATTTGGTTCTGGGTTTGTGTACAAGTTGAGGATAAATAGTTTTGTCAAGGTATCTTCATATTTTGTTTGCATTTTTCAATTCTGGCTCAGAAAGGGAGTAGAGAAAGAAGAAAAAAAGAGAAATATAGGTAGGGATGATACATGGCTGATGATTTTATGATATAGACTCGGTTTTTAAAAATTCTGTTTGCCTTGTTCACCACAATGGCACTAGGACTTAGTAGAGTAACACGTAACAGGCACTCAAGAAATATTTGTCAATTATTCATTGATTAATTAGTTATTCATTAGCTATCATTCAACTATTAATTAATTAGTTGTTAATTAATCTAGTTAGGGAAACAGGATGGATATACTTAAATACAATCAAATCAAATCAAGTCAGTAAATGATAAAGAGAAAATGAGAGTCTGACCTCACTTCTTGGATTACAAATTGTCCGAGAAAGGGTGTGAGCTGGGTGCTGGGATTTTGGAGGCTGCTTTCATGTGGGTCTGGAGCCAGAGTGGGCAAATGTGAAGCAGGAGAAGCACCAAGACTGAAGTCACTGAGGCAGGAGGTGCACTACACGATGTGGAGCTGGTGCCAAGGAGATCAGAGAGGGAGAGAGAAGTTTGTGCGGGGAATTGTAGGAAAGGCAAGCAGAGGGACAATTATCGATTCCCCTAAAATGCTCAGCCAAGCCTCAACTTTACTGTACTGGTAGTAAGATGATATTAAAGGTGTCTGAGCAAGTGCATTAATTCGCAATGAAAACAAAGTTCAGGCCGGGCACGATGGCTCACGCCTCTGATCCCAGCACTTTGGGTGGCCAACGTGGGCAGATCACGAGGTCTGGAGTTTGAGAGCAGCCTGGCCAACATGGTGAAACCCCGTCTCTACTAAAAATACAAAAATTAGCTGGGTGTGGTGGCGCACGCCTGCAATCCCAGTTATTTTAGGCAGGATAATTGCTTAAACCCGGGGACAGAGGTTGCAGTGAGCTGAGATTGTGCCACTATACTCCAGCCTGGATGACAGAGCAAGACTCCGTCTCGGAAAAGAAAGAAAAGTTCAGGGTAGAAATATGCATTTTATTTGTTATTACAAGAGCTAATTGTTAACAACATGAGAACAAATGAGATTGTTTTAAAAACCCTAGTAAGATAGGAATGACCTCTTCCTTCTTGGTTGCTTGACATAACCCCCACTGCACAGAATTTTTGTGGGAAACCTGCCCCGTTCTACTGCACTTACGCGATTCCATGTACATCTGCCAGCAAAAGGCAAGCCCCTTTTACGAGAAGGGCAGGTACAGTGTCTTATGCAGTATCAATGTATTCCCAGGTGATATCGTTTGAATATTTGTCCCCACTCAAATCTCATATTGAATTGTAATCTGCAGTATTGGAGGTAGGGCCTGGTAGGTGATTGGATCATGGGGATGGATTTCTCATGAATGGTTTAGCATCATCTTGTTGGTGCTGTCTTCAAAGGTGATTGGATCGTGGGGATGGATTTCTCATGAATGAGTTAGCATCATCTTCTTGGTGCTGCCCTGAAAGGTGATTGGATCGTGGGGATGGATTTCTCATGAATGATTTAGCACCATCTTCTTGGTGCTGTCCTCAGGATAGTGAGTGAGTTCTCACAATATCTGGCTGTTTAAAAGTGTATGGAACCTCTCTTTCTCTCTCGCTCTCCCTAGCTAGTTCCTATTTTCGCCATGTGAAGCACCTACTCCTGCTTTGCCTTCCACCATGATTGAAAGCTTCCTGAAGCTTCACCAGAAGCTGGGCAGGTGCCAGTACCATGCTTCCTACAAAGCCTGCAGAACCATGAGCCCCTTAAACCTCTTTTCTTTTCTTTCTTTTTTTTTTTATCTTTTCTTTTTTTTTTTTTTTTTTGAGAGGGAGTCTCACTCTGTCGCTGGAGTGCAGTAGCACTATCTTGGCTCACTGCAACCTCCGCCTCCTGGGTTCAACCAATTCTCCGCCTCAGCCTCCCATGTAGCTGGGACTACAGGTCACCACATCCAGCTAATTCTTGTACTTTTAGTAGAGATGTGGTTTCACCATGTTGACCAGGCTAGTCTCAAACTCCTGACCTCGGGTGATCCACCCACCTCAGTCTCCCAAAGTGCTGGGAGTCATGAACCACCGCACCCAGCCTCCTCTTTTCTTTATAAATTGCCCAGTTTCAGGTATTTTTAGCAATGTTAGAATGGCCTCATATATCAGGACTGAGAAAAGTTTTGGTGCAGAGAAGCGACTTCATAAATGCTTATTGGGTGTGAGTAAATGAGCAGTTAGTTCAAAAAGCAACTTCATACGCATTTTATTTCATTTAATTCTTACTTCTGCCCTGTGAAGTAAGTATTTGTCTCTAGGAGAGAGATCAGGCCTGAACCTGGGAGGATGCCCATATTTAGGGAAAAGAAAGCACAAGTAGAAAACACCAGGAGGCCAGAGAGATAGGATGATAGGCTAGACACTGGTGTCAGGAGCCACCAAAGACAAAGAGAGAAGCAAGAGGAGTTAGGGAGCGTGGCAGGCAGACAGGGAGGAAGGAAGGGAGGCTGGAGACAAAATGGCGGTGTATCAAGAGGTGAGGTCATGGACGAAGAACGGGGAGGAGCTGCTTCACAAACTAATCATTTGGAGAAATTTGAAACTAAAAGGAAAGAGAAGAGTGGAGCTAAAAGAAACAAGAGTCAGTCAAAGGTATTTTCACCCCAACCCTTGGACATGTTTATAGACAGAGAGGAGGGAGCAACAGAAAGACAAAAGAGCACGAAGCAGCGTGAGGTGAGATGAAGCTAAAAGGCCCAGTGAGGGTTCAGAAAGGGGTGAGACCGTGAAGCTGCAAAGGTATTTCAGTTCTCCCTCGTGCACTCTCTCTCTCTCTCTCTCTCTCTGTCCCTGTATGTGTGTGTGTGTGTGTCCGCGTGCGTGCACGTGTGTGACATAGATCCATCAAACCTCCAGCAGAGCTTGATCAGTGGTTAGATGCATCTATATCACATAGTCGGTTTGCTTAATCCAAACAGCCATTTCTCCCCAGTTATCACCAGAGTCAGCAATCTCTTTAAAAATATTTTTCCGATCTTAAAAATAGTCTATCCCCCAAGAGAAAACTCTAGCTTCTTGCCTCTCAGATGACAGTCAGCTAGGCCAAAGCTACAGAACCTCACCCAAAATAGATCAAATATTTTAAATGTTTTCTTATTTGCACCCCTTACAAGTATGCCTGCAATGCAAAGCCAATTGTAAGATTGGCTTTTTATTTTTTTTTCTGAAATGAGTGAAGGGCGTGTTTTCTGGTTAGGAGGGGAGGCCAGGCCTCACCAAATAGTCTTGGTTGGATTTCAAACAGGCTTCCTTGAGCATGAACGGGAAGAGGAAACGTGCATGGCTGGGTACGCACATGCAGACGTGCAGAGCCAAATGGTCTCTCTCAGGACTTGCCATCCTGGAGTCCATCTTCTGTGCCTGTCAGAGCTTCCCCATTAGAACAGCAATTCTCTAGAGGCACACACCGTGTCTCTGATTATATCAAAGTGACAGTGACAAGATTATAACAGGACAGAACCTAACACTAAGCCTTGCAGGTAACAGATGCTCAGATGTTGAGGGAATAAATGAATTAATGAAGAAATAACAGCTGAGAAAAATCTAGCCACAGTTTTGCATGACTCAGATACCCATTGGAGACTGGGAGAAATTTCTGGAAGCTGGAATCTTTCTCTAAGGTTAGAGCAAATCCAACAGCAATGAATATGGGTGGACTGGGAAGGGTGGAACATGGAGACATCCAGTCATCCTCTATAACTCAAGAAATAAGGAGACAGAGGCTTCCTATAGGGTGGCTGAGGGGATGGCCAGTCCTGTTCCATGGAAGTGAGAAGCAGTACCATTTATCTCAGGAGCTCCTTCATCCACACTGGGTCTTCTCTGATCATGCCCTCTTTCATTTTGTCAGGTCGTCAGCCTTATCCCAGACCATCAGTGCCCTTCTTCTTCCACCTGCCGCTCCAGGAGACTGGCCCTATCAAAGTGGGTCAGTGCAGGCTCTCATTTCATCTGCACCCTACTCATAAAGCAGGTGGCACTTAGCGCTGAGCAGGTGCTAAGCAGGCTGTGGCTTAAGTTATTACTCCTTAAAGAGTGACTATTGATGTTATGGTGTCAAAACCTTTGTACAAATGTGTGACTAAGCTGAGGACCTCACAGTCAGGGCAGGTTCATTCTCCTGCTAGTTGGGCTGGCCCCAAGTGAGCTGCTCTGTTGGCTTGAGGACAGAGAAGCACAGTGGCTTTTCCTGATGTCACAGGAACATCCGAGAAGTAATCTAGAGGACCAGATTACCAGTGCTCTGGGGGGAGAATGTCTCATTTATATTGCAATTTTGTTAAAAAAAAACAAAACAACAAAAAGCTTAAGAATAATACAACAAACACCTGTGTACATGCTCTGCAGTGTTAACAGATGTATTTTTTTTCATAATTGCTTAAGATCCTCTTTTATACATTGCTGATACATTTTAAATTTCTTAATTTCAAGACCAGTACCATTCCCCTTTCTCCCTCCTTATGGCCAACAACCATCTTAAATTTGATGTTTATCTTAAATTTATCTTAAACTATCTAGTCCATTCTCATATGCATTCTTAAATGATACATACAAATGGAATAATTTCAATTGCAACCTGCTTCTTTTTTCCCACCCAATATGCTTTTGAGTTTCAGGTACATTTAGGTCATTCGTTTTAGCTATTAGGTATAATACCCCATCCAATACCATATATAATATGGCATTAGCTATTATATATTTTTATAATTATACATATATTTATATAATTAGGTATTTAGCTATTATGTTATAGATAATGGTTTCCATAGCCTCTCCCCTGACAATTGCTGTTGGAGCATTTTTAACAATGTTTTTAGTGCTGCAGACAATGCTCAAATGAGCTTCCTTTGACATATCTCTTGGCTTAAGAGGGTGAGGGCGTCCCAAGACGATATACCTATAAATGGGATTACAGAATATAGATGTGCATACTGAAAGTCACTAGATATTGTCAAATCACTTAACAAAGTGAATGCACCAATCTACTTTCTTATCCAAAATGTATGATAATTTTTTTCTGTACCTCATCAACAACATTTAGTTTTGCATGATTAAACTTTTTTTCTTTACCAATCTGGTTGTCATTGTTTTAACTTGCATTTTTTGATTACTAATGAAGTTGAACATCATTTCAAGTCTTTTCACCTTTGCAGTGTTCTCCTAAGTGGATTGTTTATCCTATGCCTATTTTTTATTGGATTTTCTCTCTCTCTCTCTCTCTCTCTCTGTGTGTGTGTGTGTGTGTGTGTGTGTGTGTATCAGTTGATTTGTAGGCATTCCCTGATAGTCTACATTTTTTTTTTAAGATGGAGTCTTGCTCTGTTGCCCAGACTGGAGTGTAGAGTGCAGTGGTGTGATCTTGGCTCACTGCAACCTCCGCCTCCTGGGTTCAAGCAATTCTCCTGCCTCAACCTCCTGAGTAGCTGGGATTATAGGCATGCGCCAACATGCCTGCTAATGTTTGTGTTTTTAGTAGAGACAGCGTTTCACCATGTTGGCCAGGCTGGTCTCGAACTCCTGACCTCAGGTGATCTGCCTGCCTCAGCCTCCCAAAGTACTGGGATTGCAGGTGTGAGCCACCATACCCGGCCGATAGTCTAGATTCTAATTCTTTGTTTTAAACATTGAAAATTTTCTCTTGGCTTGTCTTTTCCCTTTGTATATGGTGGCTTTTTTTGAACAGAAATTTTTACATCTTGATGTAACCAAATTTTTTTCTTTAGTTTAATT